CTCTGATGTTGGTAACAAATTAAATTTTATTGTTGTTGTTGGTTTTTTTTATTCCTTATGATGAGTCTGTCTCGTGCCTGTGACCTGTTTAAGTGGTGAGAAGCCCTCCCAGTCGCTTATTTTGACCAGCCCTTTTTTGGGGCATCATGGTGCTCAGTTATGCACTGGGCCTAAACCACGACATCCTTCTGTAACTCTCATGAAAAAGAAAAGGCCCATTCTGCACGTGGGCTGCTGGAAAGCAGCAGACTGCTCAACAGACTGAGACTGGGCTGAGTAAATTGCCTTAACCTTGCATCATGCCTGTAACGCGCAAATGCTAAATTCTGCCTCTTTTTCCTTTCAATACGCTTTTGAAGCAGTAAGTGAACCTTATATCTTTACAACTCATACTGACTTAATCACCTATTTTTAAAAGTCAGTGAAGAAATACTCTTGAAATGAAACCTTTTATACCAGTATCCCCTTTGCACTCATCTTTAAAACTGCGATAAAGTTCTCTGGCAAAGCCTTTGATGATTATGAGATAAAGAAACACAGTGTAAAAAGTGTTACTGTCAAGAAATACTTGGACACTGATGTGGAAAATAAGTTGCAATGCAGTTTCACAAAGAATTTCAAGGAATAGTTACAGATTTTAATATCAAACAAATAAAGTCTACCAATTTACCTTTAATTTCATTTGAAAGGAGTAGCTTGTTTTCTGTCTCCTCTTCTTCACACTCTTTGCTCTTTATGGAGTCCTTTGTTTGTAGTACTCCACTGACGAAAATAAGATGTCCGTTTTTTTATTAAGACATCATAAAAATCACAAAGTGCGATGACATCTCTTACTAACAATGCTATTAACACTCCAGGATTCCCTCATAAAGGATGTTGTATCATCATAAAATGAAAAAAGATCTAATTTCTGACTTACACAGGTGGCATGACTACCGACATGAATTCTGCAGTGAAAGCTCAAGAGTAGTGTAAACCAAGATTACATAAATTGTATCAACACATTTGACTTCATAACTGAAACTGGAAAATATATAAATGAAGGTAGCTCATGTGTCCATGGCAGATGGGAAGAGTGAAGAACACATACATAGCTGCATCTACTGGTTGTCCAGGATATTTTCAGGAATTGTCTTAAGCAACATTTACTCCTTTTTCTCTGCCCAGCCTTCACCTCCACCCCACCCCAACTCCTGTACTAAACTGACACACTCTTGTGCAGCTGACAATGATCCTACTGAAAATCTCTGTATTCTTTTGTTACTGTTTTTGAATTACTTCTTATGCAGCTAAAAGAGCCGCTCCTTGCTTGCTGACTATAGCTGCTCCCTCAGCTTTGACAGTCTAAAAATCTGCAAAGAGGGAACACCTTCCCTCTACTGAGAAAAATGGGGCAAGAGAGGTGGAAATAAGAGAACTTCTCAAAGGGGGGTGGGTGTATTTGCATCCTAACATCAGCCCTTGGGAAGTTCCTTTTCAAACTCTGCCTTTAGAAGGTATTTCCAACCCAGTTTCTTAAAGAAATGAAGCTAATACAAACTTTCTGACATTATGCGTGTATGTATTTCCCTCTGCTTTTAAGAACTTGAGAACACGTCAACCAATTCTTACTAAGCAATCACGGATGCAGAGCTCACAGAGATACTAAGAACATAATGAACATTTTAAAAATTGTTTGTATGCACAAATACCTCTTACTACTTTAAAAAAAAAGAAAGAAAAGAAGTGGAACTGGACATTAGCTGAGTACGACTTAGATTTAATACAACAAAATAAATATCATGCTTGGCTTTGTATGTGGTTGGTTCCTCAATGAAAGACTTCTATGAAACGAAAGATTACCTGGAATATGAAGGTACACAAAACTGTACTGAAAACAAACAATTAAATCCACACTACGAGCTCAGCAGTGTATATGCATCTGTCTTCAATCATGCATGTGTACTTTGAATATACATATAAAAAGATCCACTGGGTATTGCAATAACCAGATGCTCAATATTTTATAACTCTAGCAGTTCATATATACCTTATGTTGTAAACACTGTTTTTCATGCCTTTTGCAGAGGAAGTTTATTCAACAAAAAGCTGAATATTCAACAAAAATTCTGACTATGCTGGACACAAAGAATGTGGAAAGCTAGATGACAAAATGCAGATAGTCATCATTATATTCAAACAGTTCAAATACAAACTGCAAAGCCTCTGGGTAGTTCAAAGTTGGCACAAGGCTGTTATTCTTTGAATGAAAATGACTCAATACAGTGAACAGACAGCACATGTATTGGTTATTTTAGGTCTTCATAAAGATAATATTTGTACATATACAAAAACATATTTGTACAGGGAGGTAGGGAAGAAGGATCTCAACTTCCAATAATTCCTCTGTCTTGTGGTATTTTTCCTCTCCTCTCTGATATGCCTTTCTTATTTCTTAAATACACTGTGACACTCCTTTCTCCCCCGTTTCTACTGGAGAGACAGCTGAAGAACTTCCATCTCCTTCCCCACTGCTGCCAAGAGTACCATGGACAAGGCACTGTACTGCACTGCCTGGTAAGCTGCTTTTTAAACTGACCATCTCCAAACAACTTGTACTTTGAACAAACTGATAATTACCTAGGTGCCTTCTTTTCTTTCACATCACATAACAGGGGCTTCTTGCAAGGAGATTTACTTTCTGCATCTTCCTCAGTTGTTTCCAATACACTTTTCCCAGACAATCGATTGTGAGCTGAAGATTTCATACCTACGTGACCAGGGCTGGGGCATTTGCTGTCACTGTTTAAAACAAATTAACAAAATGTTTAAAACTGAGAGCAGCTGAGCTGTTGTTCAACTTATTTTCTTTATGGGTAAAGAGTCATTAGTGCAACTGAAGAAATACAAGGGTTTTGTTTGTTTTAAGAAACAGACAGAAGTTTCTTACTTGCCACCAACAAAACTGCATGCCTAGGATTTTCAGAAATCACAATGCAAATCAAAGGTAAAACATTTAGGCAATTCAACAGGAATAGAAATTGCCTAATGTTATTTTTGATAATAAGCTATCCACTCCAAAGATTTGTAATGCAAGATAACTTTGAAGTATAATTTTCCTCCCATCCCTTCTTTCCCTTCCATGATATATACTTCCATGATATGCAGTCATGACCCTTTAAAAATGTTATGCAGTCTCTTAATTGGGACAATGAAAAACGTATCACTTGACACTGTCCCTGCCACAGAGAACACTGCTCAAACTGTTACTGGCTTCACTGGGACGGTACCCGGGCTACGTGTCAGAGGGTAATTAAGTCACTTCAGATTTCTACAACCTACAGTTACAAGAACAATTGAACCAGGCAGCGCTCTTTGACAGCTGAATATTTTGGATTTTAAAGCATGAAGCTGAAACTGTCTCCGAGAATGTCATTTAAAATACCATCTATTGAAAATACGTGGTCATTACAGTGCAAACCGAAAATCTTCACTATGAACATTCACATTTTCACATTTACACTGATGTAGACCTTGAAAAGAATGGAAAGCCTCTTTTTTCCTTTTCTTCTTAAATTCTCTATGTATCTCCACAGCCCAAAATAAGCACAGGAGTCAGTGTCTACAATTTCTGATAGAAAATCATAATCTGAAAATCATTATCTTGGTATCACATCTCTTTGTTTTTTCCCAGTGCTCCTGCTAGAAGCTTCAGTTACAGACTTCAGCATCATTCTTGCAAAACTTACTTCCAGTACTTTGATTCTCCACTCCCACAATAACAACACAATTTATGGTGGCTATTATTCAAAGAGCAACATTAATTTACAGTCACATCAATAAGGCCATCCCAGCAAACAAAAAAAAAACCACCCCACAAATAAATCCTTTTCCTAAGTGAAACCAACTGGAAAACAATTAATTTTAAATTCCAATTAACCACTTAGTAGCCTAGATAGTTACAGTGAAGATGAAACTGAACTCTTGTTAACTCATACATAGTAAAACCAGTATCAGTCAGTGACAGCTTGGTGACCTTTTCGATAAGCACTGATGAAACCATTTCTTCCCTGTAAATGAAAATGTAGATAGATAGACAGGCCCATCCAAAACCATTCAGCCATTACACAACTACAAATTATGCTGCTGAACACTGAAATAAAGTACTGCTGTTAGTCAGGGACATCACTCCAATTGTAATTACTTGATTACAGGAGAGGTGGATCTTTCACTTGATTCCACTTTTCTGTTTCTGGGAACAGGACTGGCTGCAGGCATCTCCCCACTCAAGCGGTCAGGTAAGAGGCTTTCTTTGTTCAAGTTCATCTCTGAATACGGGCAGCTGACTGCACTAGAAGTTGAAGAAGAGAAATGCCGCCTTATTCTTAGAGACACTTTACTGATTACATGCAGTTCAAATGAAATTACATCAGAGACCAGTTTTCTACAAGTAGATGCAATCAATTAATATAAAGAAGATTACAAAAAAACCGCAGTAAGTAGTCATACTTTAAAATGTTAATAAATCCACTGATTAAAAACCTCAACCTGAATGTTTTTTGCATTTCCTTTTGACAGCAACTTATGTAACACAAATTGCATTAATTTATATTACAGCATACATTCTGGAAAATTGCTTGATGAATGTTTAGCCTGCTCTTATACCTCTACTGGTATTTTACACATAATATACAGGGTGTCTTTGACTACACTCACCTCTCTCCAAACAGAATCATATTCCCATGGTTATTTTTCCTGCAAAGAAGAGTATTTCTATTGTGTCCACAGGGAACCTGCATTGCAAGGACACAGTATGAGGAATGGTCCGCATCCTCTTACTGCAGCGAATGCCCCATCTTTGCAAATGCCATTCCATTAAAAGACTGTGACATTTTCACCACTTTTCCTATCACTCAACACTCTCTATTTCACTAGCCTCCAACTAAAGAAAGGGAGAATTCAATTTAGTGCGCTTTGATAATGACTCATAAATATTACCCTAACAAATGTGAAAGTCATACCTCCTACAACAGGTAGGAAAGGGAAGAACAGTAACACAAAACACACTGGGCTGGACTAGGATTTTGTCTTTAGAAGAATGCAATGCAATGCAATGTTCAGCTGATTAGTCAGGCTACATACTCACACTTCAAAGGTAATATCCCAAATTCTGAAAGGTATCTATATGCCATGACAGTGAAAACAACATATTCAGTTTTCAAATCTGTTTAAGATATAGGAGAGGCCGTACTAAACATAATGCTCTATTTGCAGTTCATGAGCCATGACACCAACTATAATCTAAAATTCTGCTTTCCTACTCACCTGTGTAATTACAAGGACTTCTACAATGGTAAAATGTAAAAAAAAAACATGTCCTGGGATTTTGTGGGGATTTTTTGTTTGTTTATTTATCTTCCTTTCTATGAACTACTGCAACGTTGTATTTGTTTCACTGATTGTTACATGCATGGTTTCCAAACAGGACTGTCTAATATAAACAAGTCTACCTTGCCAGCCATACACCCCACCACCTCCAAATTACAAAAACTAAATAGAAAAACAACAGATTTTATTATCATGTTCATTTTACAGAACAAAAAAGGCCTTCTATTAAAAATACGTAATACATTCTCCTTTACTGATGAAGCCTTGGATTCATGAGACTGGACCAATATTAGTAATCTAATTTTGGTCTTACCAACATAAACAAAAAGTTAGTGGAAATTTACATTTCTCTCAGCAGTAGCATAAAAGGAGGAATTTCCTTAAAGATACACAGTCAGTCAGTCCTTGCTGGGGATATCGACACAGGAGTCCAATGGTATGCCTGATTTTGTCAGTTGGGTCATTTGAAAACAAGACAGTACCAAGCTTTTGGTTTTTTTTAAATCCATGTATAGCTGAGCTGAACTTGAATTATGGAGGAAAAACACACCAGCAGAACATGATTTCTGCTTTTCTCATCAAGATGAGATCCCTCTTTAAGGCCTTTCCAAGCAGAAGGTGTTCCACAACAGCCTGTGCATTGTTTCCAAGGGATACACGGTCATACATCCCCGGAGGATTTACGCAGGAGTTACCTTTGCTGCCTTCTGAGGAACTGAGTGGTAGTCTCAGCACCACCTCTGGAATACAGGCACTGAAGCTTTTTGCCACGAGAACCTTCATATCAAGCGCTTACACTGCATAGTAAGATACAGCCAAATGTCCAGATATGGCTGGACTATAAAGCACTACACTTGAAATAAGATATTCTTTTGTTAATAAAAATGTTCTAAAGACATGGAACAGAATATACAAAGAAAAAATTAACTTGGAGCATTTGACTTTTATTTCCAGTTTCTCTTAAGCAGAATTTGGCATTTCATTTTATATTTATTTATATATCTCTACTTACACTTACTTTTCAACCTACTTCTTTTGCCTGTCTTAGGACTAGCCTCTGCCAGATGTCCCAAAGGAACAAGAAACATGAACAGAAATATGGTGAAGAACACTAGAAAAGGGGGGAAGTTGTTCTATATTCTCAGTTCTTTATATTGCTGTACCTACCATGATGTCTTTTTTCCCTTTCAAATGAACTACAAGATACAGGCTTCTATTCAGAAAAAGGTTTTAAGGAGACAATATTAGTGGGATTTAAGTTCTTGCTGCAACAAATTCATACCACTGTCATGAAATACAGTTACCAGAAACTCAGGAATATGTTGGTTAATCTCAGTTCTGTCATTTCTACAAGGCAAAGCATGTAATCTTCTTTTGGCCTCCAATGCTCACAGGGGTGTTTCAAGGCTTAGTGTTTTTAAGCAGTTACAGGGTTCACATGAGGAAACACTAAATACAACCAACATAGTATGTCACTTCAGTTGTGTATTATCAAACAAGCCTTACTCTTCAATGAAGTCTGACAAGACAATTTCATCTCCAGCAGGTCTCTTGTTTACCAACACTATGAACATGTTTCAAATTATAAAACAAGAGAAAGACTCGAAATTCACCCCATCATTAGAAACTGCCTGTTTACATACTGCCGCCTTCTGCAATATTTTCTGGAAAAACAGAAGGTGAATGACAATTAATGATTATTAATGATGCTTCAGAACACTAAATTCAGATGATGAATTTTCTTTGTAATTAACAATCCAAGTTGCTGTATCATTTTATAAAATCTCCTTGATAGTCCTTTGATGTTACTATTATTTAGAGCAACAAAAAGAACCTTCAAGGTTTCCACTGGTAGCTTTGTTTTAACAAAACATGGCACGAATGAACCTGTGTATAAGTTACATGGCTTCAGATCAATCAGTAAATCCTCCTGAACCTCAATGCCTCCTGCCTTCGGTTCAGTTTAACTTGTCTACTATAAAGAATAAAAAATAATCCTGTTATTCCTATCTAATAGAAGTATTAGATTTATACAGGACTGTAAGTTTTAGAGACATCTCAAGGGCCCCAAAGTCTTGATGTTTAAGTTATTTAATATTAAATTAAGAATTTAACTCTTCTGTCAACTTCAACCTGGATTTCTGCTCCAGCTTGCAGTTTGCCTGAGCACAGAAGTTCAGAAGCCAGTTTTCAAAATGATCAGATGCCCTTGACTAGGGGGTACCAAGGTCTGCGAGAAGCACAGGAAGCATGGCAAGAAGCAGAAGCAGCAGCAGGTACCCCATTTGAAACCTCTACTATACATCCGACAGGGCTGTATACTCTCCAGCACTGCTTCACAGCTCTGAAACCAGTTCGACATGAAGATACTCAATTATCATCTGAGCTGCTTCAGTAGCCTCGACCCCTGTTTTAGTAAACAAATATTCACATTAACACCACAGGCGAGTAATCAGTCACCTCTAAATGTTGAAGGACCAACATGGCACAGCAATTACCTATCTGCTGTACACTTTGCATCCTACTGAAATGGCAGCAGAGCGGCTGGTAATACACATGTCCATCATTCAGCTTTCTGAGAAAAGGGAGCCACTGTTTCCGGAGTTCTGAATAGGTTGAGTAGAATCTGAGCTTTAAAATAAGCTTCTGTTTTTAATCTAACGAGGAAAGATCAGTACAGGAAAAACCCAATGTACCAATTACCACTTCCTGTATACCATTCTGAGGTATTCCTGGGATCACAGGCCTGGGATTTTCAATTCCACAGAGGTTTTACATAATCAACCCTTTCCAGAACTGTGTGATGGAACAAAAGTACCAAGGTAGCACATCCCATTGCGGTTAATTTGCAACTGCTCTTCTACCACTCTCACGCTCTATCTCTAGATAGGGTTACACACATAAAACTTGTCTCTAAAAGGCAGTAGGATAAACTGGGCTACTGATGAGTGGGCAGGGACCTTGGTCTTCTCCAGACATCTTGAGAAGTTCCTGTCTTCTAGTAGTATGCAATGTTTCTGAAGCAGAGTCCAACTGCATTACTCAGTCTCAGCTATACCTAACACCAGAAGGGAACGTAAGCCAGGATTCTCTCTTAACCTGAAGAAGAGTAAGGTGGTACTCTGGTCAATGAAAGTTAATACTAAAGTATTTGTTAATATAGATTACTAATCTTTATGACTGCTTGGACTATTTTGCAAACCTCTGTGAAGCCACAGACAAGTCTCCCATTTTTGCTGTACTGGTTGGAAGTATTACCAACCCCAGCTCCTCATTGGCCTTCAGGTGCAGGTTAATGCCAGCCAAGCACTGCCAGAGGATGAGGTTGTATGGCAGCACCAGGAAAATTCACCTGGATTTGCTCAAACTATCTTCCTTGTTGGGTTAAACAAATAGATTGGACTAACTGATGGCTTAGTCTTTATCTAGAGCAGACTATGTACAGATGACTGCATCTGCTAGTAGGTGAAAGAGTAAGAAACCTCCAATGAAAAGGTCCTGACAACATCTAGGGAATGCATTATTTTATACTGCTGGACTTTTGTTAAGTGATGTCTTTACTTCAGTTTACTTTATGAAAACACTTTCAACTAGTCTGGAAACAAGTGACACAAATGTTCTCTTTTACAATTTACAACAGACGTTTATCATCAAAGCATTCTTTTTTTAGGAGAAAGCTGGTTCAAAAGTCTAAGCCTGACTCAAGAGTAGCTTGTAATGGATTTGTCTGGGGCCAGTGACCTTACATAAAAGATAAAATGAAACTTGAGACTGACATCAAAATCAGAAGAGAATTACTTCACCAGACACTGACAAATAGATGTGAACTCCTGCTGAGGTGAGGTTTCCTGTGTTTCTGCACTGCTATTCGCTTACAACACAGCCTCCACCATGAGATATTCAGTTCACTTCAACTTACACAATGTATGTGAAGCTTCTGGTTAAAATCTTTATTCATGGAGAGTTGACCCCAAACACTAATGACCTGTTTACAACTGACCACTTTGCATTACTGCTTGAACTTGAAATTTATTGTGTGCATTAAACATCTGAGAGCACACAATTCACAATTACAAATATGCAGGTGATCTGCATAATAGTACCAACCTGCACATCAGGCTTGGCTTCAAGTGCACAGCACAAAATCCTAGATCAGCTGGTGACAGATACCACGTCCTTATTAATATCAACTTTTCCAAAAAGTAAATGCTTTAACCCCACTACATAATTAATCACTGAGGCTTTCATCTGGTTCCTAAGGAACAAGCTCTCGAAATTATTTCAGAACTACTTAGCATTTTAAATTATCATCTTTTCTGCACACAGGCATTTATGCTGTAGATAGACATTGTACCTCATCATGACAAAAAAGATAAGCATGGTTAAATACATTTCAAGGTTGCCAAGATAAAAGAGCCAAGGGACTGACTGCTACCTGATGTGGATAATTACACCAATTTCAAAATGTCTTTGTTAATTCAGGAAAAAAGTGATAGTACAATGTTAGAATTTTTGGGGTGACCTGGAGCCTCAAGTCTATAGACTCCAGACAAATAACAGATCTCATTATTTTCCTCAGAAATGCTCAAGACAAAAAACACAGTATCGGTACAGACGGCAAACAGTTAGTGAATAAGATACTTAACGGTGTTAATTTATTTGCTATGAAACAGCAAATACCTGCCTTAAGATCAACAAAATATCTTTGGTTACATTTTTATCCCCTAGAACTATCAGTTAATGTGTAAATAATAGGATTGCTAAGACTGTAATAAAAATAAAACAGATTGCCATGAGTTTATTTCTTTTCTTAATATTCAAGATGAGTAACAACTTTAAATACCATGGAAAATCTAGTTATAAAAGCAAAGGTTACATGAACTAAATAGACATATAGCTCTTACTCATCCCTTCCCTGTGAAACATCAGAAGTTTTAATGCCAATGTTTGTTTAGAGAGATCATCAATTAAAAACTTTCCTAACACGTTCACTTAGCTTGTGGCTTGGTTTTTTTTTAAGTGTCAACCTTGGGCTAAGAATGGGTATGTTCAAATGTTTCTAAGTAATTGAGACAGCACATGGTAAGGAAGATAATACTCTCAATTAGCAGTTACTACCTTACAGATCAGGTGTATTAATAAATCATACAAGACTCAAGTCTACTGGAATATGAAATAGAACGGTTTTCAGCTAAGCAGCCAGGAAGCTTTTTAGGCAAGTCTAGTTTACTTCACATCTGCAGTGGACTAAGAACATTAATGCAGTAGGTTACCATACGCTAACTGAAGGACGGTAACCTCTTAAGTATGAACTTGACTGTTCAAGGAGCTATCCTGCTAATTGAGTGCAACAAAGCTTCTCAAAAGGGCAGGTAGAAAAACTGAAAAAAATAAACCAAAGAGAAGGAACATGGGCAGAAAAAGACAAAAGGAAATGGGTGAGAATAATCTGAAAGACAGCAATGTGGCACAGTGTGTCATGACACCACCACTGTAGATCATACAGCAAATGGTTTTGTCACTGGAGCTAACCTAGCCACATCCCTTCCTGGAGATAAAGCTTGTACTAACATCAGGTGTTCTTCAACTTCTATTGCCTAACAATACAAACACAATGCCTCTGCTGCGGATAGGAAAGAAGTTCTTGCAGCAAACTATGCCTTTTGCACAATAAACATTTAACAATGCAATTGCGTTTTGTTGGCAGGTCTCTTTGTTAGGGATGACTAAGGACTACAGTCAGTGCTGATACCCCATCAGAACCTTGTAGCATAATTCTATCCAACAGGACATAATTCTCCCATCAAAAACATGACAGTACTGCAGAGCTAACTCTTGGTCACAGTAGTTGAGTAATATACTTAAAAATGTGAATAGAAAAATAAAAAAAGAGCAATCCTCTAACCATATGAAAGCAGAAAGAATAAAAGTGGTTTGACATTTGAGGATCATATGACTATGTAATGAAAAAATTCTGAGAAACTGCTGGAAACTCTGATTTGCAAAAAAAGGTAATAGGATAAAATTTATGATACTTAATTCTCAACTTAACATGTTACATTAACTGTGTATCCCTTACTGAAATATTCAGGATTCACCTCATACTGTAAATATTTTTTAAATGGTAAAATTTTGACTTAGTAAATGTTCCCTGTTTACTCTGTCATTATCTCTCTGGCCCCCATTTTCTTCTCCCATGCTATTGTTCTCCTTATGTCAACTCTCCTCTAGGACAGCTTGGCATGTCCACGTTTCTGTATTATATTTCAGAAGGTATTCAACAAAAGCATCTTTACAAACACAGGTACAAACAGCAAGTTGTTCAGGCTGTCATTCAGGAATACGTCAATTGGAATTTCCTTTTTAGAATTATTCCAAGCCAAGAAGCAAATCCTCACCCCTACCAACCAAGCAGACCAAAAACATCAAAGCCATAATAAAATTAGTGGCCTCATATTTCAAAAGATTCAAAAGTTATTGCTTTATACATATGTGTCCCTAACATTTTGCAACCCAAACAGCAAGCTGAGGAATCCTCATAGGAACAAAATACAGAGTAGCTAAATCTATCAATTGTGTGTGACAAAACATGGCGTTCAACAAATCTTATTTCAGCACACCCTGGTGAAATGAAGTTACAGATTGCTAATGTTTATTTCAGCATGCTCACCATGGCAACTGAAATCATTGCATATTTCAGCATACAAGATTTCATTTTTTTTTCCAGTTTGGGTCTTTTTTCTTGTGAAAAATGTTTTTTTTAAAAAAAAAAAAAGGATGTGCACACATAACTCAATTGAAAGAATAGAGCTACAGTTTCACAGCACATACCTATGATGACCGATATGTCTTGCTCTTTTAATGTGTCCAACTCCTTTACATCCTGCTGTGGGACACCCTCCATGCTCTAGAGCTTCCACCAATTCCAAGGGACCTGCATGTCAGGGGAAATCACACATGAGATTAAAAAAAAGTATCTAATCTTTACAAGTTATATAAATATGATGGAATACCAGATTATCATAGTAAACATGAAGAAGGAATAAGTAAACAAAACGTAATTTTTAAGTACTTTAAAAATGCAGTCTGCAAAAACATGATGAAGATTCATACAACCTAATACACTGGAGAGATAGCTTTATTCTGTGTAAGTAAATCTGTTCAGGAGAGCCACATCTATATAAATAACACAAATCTTCGAGGACCTGTATGACTTCAAATTTCTCTCCTATTAACTACATGTGGTTGGAAATTGGTTATTTTGCAAGAGCACAGACAAAGTAAGTTATCCTGATGTTCCTGAAGACAGGGATCTGTTTGTAATAGGTACTGACCTTCTCCATTTTTAGCTCAAGTTTTCCAGTGAACAAGACATGAAAACAAAGGCTGAAAATACTACTAGAAAGAACAAGTCATCAGATTTTTTGACATTTCTACATATCTGAATTTATGCATCTGATTTTCATCAACCTGCAACACCAACACCTGCAGAGACATTAAAGCACGTAGCTGTCAAAACTAGCTTTGACACTCAAGCAAACATAGCATATAACTCATAGCAAGTGAGAGACAGACCTACTCCAGTACATGAAACATGCACCGACTCTCTAGAACTGGTTTTACTTGAAAAGTACATTAACATGTATCTCTCTCTACAGACAACAGAAGTGACACAAAAGGTCTATTTAAATAAATTTTCCTAGATGAAAAACAGATTCTTGCTTGCAGAAGGACAATGAAAGAGAATTATTTTGTACAATTAAGTTCAAAAGTATTTTAAACAAATGTTTCACCTATGCTAATGACAACCCTGTGACTGCACTGAAGTCTAAAGACTTCTTTCTATAGGCTTTTAAAATGGAGTAATGGATGAGAGAACAAAGAATTTTATCTTATCTATCTTGATTCAAAACTGATGCCTATAACATAACAAGTTAATGGACACAGAGTTAACTTAGTAGGGACACTTTTGTGAAATGATGTTAAAATCAACACCGATATGGCTCTTAATTCCCTAACTGCTATCAGAAAGGCCATAATCCATCATGACAACTTCACTACATCTTAACTGAAAACACTATGGATACATAAATAGTGGGAGCACAAGACCATTAGGATGACTGCTCTAGACTAGCATTGCACAGTGCTCACACAAAGCTTCTGGTGTTAAAGACAGGAATTTGGACTATATCATGAAAAGGACTATCTTACCAACTGAGGAAAAAATATTGTGTCATGCAAAATATTTTCTTCCCTCATTCTCAAACCCTTTCACAAAAGCTGAAATGCACTTTAGCTTACTTGGAAATAATACTAATATTTTTATAGCATTCTACATTCCATACCATATTCTATGGTAATAATACAAAGGCATGTTGCTGGAGGAATACTTTATTCAGTAATCCTACTTTATTAGTATTTGTGCAGTTAATTTTTAAATCTATTTTATAGCCAGTCACTTCCCCCGTCTCATTGTCCATCTTTGTTTTTGAAGCTTAACTAGGATCAAAAAGTCACTTCCACCAGTCACAAGCTAGAAGAGAACAGTGACTCCTACATCACCAACTAGAGTAGATGACACATTCTGTGTGATGGACACCTGTATTTTGTTTCTTTTAATGTCTCCAACAAAAGGCTCTTATGTAATTTATACTTCCACCTAGGTTAAGATTTTTTTATTCAATCTTAGGTAATAGAAATGTTGCAATCTTATTCAGCTCTTTTGACATATGATACAATTTTTATTTATGTGGCCACAGGCCACTTTTTCTCACTGGACTGTTCCTTCATTGAGCACACAGGATGCACACCTCAGTTTAAGAAGCAGATATGCAGCATCCTATCTCCTCATTATTTACCTTGTGTTTTGGCACTTATGCACTCTATTCAACCTCTGCTTTGAAGGCAGAATGATTAACTTCCTAACAGGCAGTCATCACTACCAGTGGAGCGCTCAGAAAACTAACAAATATACTCTGATCACAGTCTTGACAGGAAATATTTCTTCTTGACATTTTAGAGATGCTGAATTGAGGTACAGAGATGTTCAGGTAACACGTTCACACAATCTGCTTATTCCAGTTATTTTACATTTAATTTTTTCAGAGTACTTAGCATTGCTCAGCATTTCTTATTTTCCAGGCATAGCTCTTTCTGATCTCAGTTACAGCTGTGAACGCTCAGCACTTGTGCAAACCATACCTCAGAGTCACAACATAAAACAATCCCAGAGAAGCACACTCAATTAAAAATCATCTGTTCAAAGTTTGGCTAAAGTGATTTCACTACCATTATCCAGGAACACAATGGCATAGGCAGGGATATCTTTACCACAAAAGTCTCTTCTCCCTGCAACCTTCAGTCTCATTTATGATAGACCTCTCACATGTTCAACAAGTAAAACAAGTAACCTTCAAGAGGACATGGACAGAAGATTTTAAGAGCAATCCTTTATCCCGACTGAGTGCCACAGCAGTTTCATCACTGGCTTTGAGAAGGCCAGGATTTTATGCAACAGATTTTTATCATTAGTTCAGGTTTTGACTGCAGTTCTTATGCATCCAGAGAAACACTGTATTTCCATTACAGTAAGGGCAAATAAAGCTATCTACTGCAAAGTGATTAATTACTGACTGTTGATTTTGCACTAAATGTCACGTTTACATTATTTTGCATATTGTAGTTGCTACTCTTCCTCAGATGCCACTGGCAGGGAGAAAGAAAGTACTGTACATGTGCCTTTTAATAATAATTAAATAAATTATTATTTAACTATATTATTAAAATATAATGTCACAACATTATAATGTGATTTCTCTTACTAAGTGGGGGCTGAAGAGGATGTCCGGTCTTTGTACACCAGCCTGCAGGATGGATATCAGGGCTATCTACATCAGTCCAATAATCATAAATACTATCCCAGCCATCAAAATGGACCTAAAATCAAAAAGGAGAACAATACATTTTACATCAGAAAATTCTCTACAAAATCAGTTTCCGTAAGTAAACTCTAAAAAATGACATGTCTACTAGAAAAGTCACATCAAGAGCTATTGATGTTACACAGAAAATACAAGCACATTAGATTCTGGACCCAGAAATACTCTCAGTGAAGTAAAGAGAGAGGTGTCATTTGGTTGTTTACTATGTCTTGCATCATCAGGTTCAATCACAGGAATAAAGCAGGCAATTTTAGTTCTCACATTAAAACTTAAACTAAGCATAAATATATTCAAATACTACTTGACCTCTGTAATAGTAAATAGCTCAGATCTCTCATATGCACATGTGCGGATGTGGTTACACACAGACATATACAAACAGAGCTCTCAACATAAGATACAGAGTCAAATTACCAATCTAGAAGCTATAATCCTGTTATTTTAATAAATTAGTCTGGAAAGGTTTTTTTCTTTGTTTTGGTGTTTGGTTTTTTTGCATGACCAACTTAAAGTTCAGATAGAAAATGCACAGGTATGAAGGTATTAGTTCTGATGACTCCCTACTATCAGTTAATTGAGATTAAAAATGAAATGTCAGCTGCATTTCCTGCTTGAAGTATCATGAATGCCTAATAAATCAGTACAAATTGCAAACAGAAATACTCTTCATATCCATCTAACTGGAGATCTGGAATATGCTAGCCTTTCTAGCAGTTAAGGGCTTCAGAGTGTAAACTGGTTTTGTACAATAAACGAAAAAATAATTCAAGTATACAACTTGTGGAAAACTGCAATTTCTTAAAAATACATTACATGAGATTAATCAAATCTGAAGTCCATAATTAGTATAAACTTCAGAATTCCAGAAGTCACTGACAAGGCACAAGAGGTCACTGCTCTTTTTTTGTATCTCCCTTGTACCTCTCTCGTCTCCCTGAAAGTTTATAGAGACAGATTCAATTAACCAAGGCCAAGTATTTTACGGGCCCTAACACAGTATCACAGCAACCCTTCGATACTTGATATTAAATCACCACATTTCTTGATAGAATGGACAACTGTTTTATATCAACTATTCCCAAAGCTATTTTTTAACACACTCAACTCTGCTCTCTAATTACCAACGCCAGCAAATGCAAGTAAGAGGATAATAGAACAGCCCCTTCCAAAGGAATTATATGCATATTAATCAGCAAAGAGGATGAGCAAAAGCTTAGCAGGACACAGCAATGTGACTCATTTCTTCCTGTGCTTAATTTTACAACTACAGGATTTTGGTTTTACAGAGTACTTCTCAGTCACTCAAGCAGGACAGTACAGTTAAGACAGAGAAACTTACTTTTATTCTGTAGTCATCAGTATCTACAATAGTTGCTACTCTGATAAATACTGGATTTCTCTTGTCAACCACTTCAAGTTTCATGTTTTTCTGAAAGCCATGAGAAGGTTTCTAGAAAAGAACAATATTATGTGAAACAGAAGAAAACACCAAAAATCTCACACAACGGTTAAGTATATAAAATCCATAGAAAACATTCTGCCTTTATTTTCTCAAATCTGTCCTCCCTCTCCAACAAAGCCGAGCATAAAAAGATCATTCAAACCAATGTTATTGAAAACTACTTTGGGATTCCAGGTTCTCCATTCAAGCCTTCCAAGCAAGTAGGGATCTTTATTTTAAGCCAGTTGGGTTTTTTCCTAAATTTTCTAGAAAAGCCAACAGTTTCAATGCAGTGCTGAATGAAGTATTGCATACCAGCAGCCTGAAATGTCTATGAAATTGTCTACAGGAAACATATTTGTGTTTTTTAGCATGTATTTTTGCTTTGTGCATCAATTCTTTTTCAGTTTTCTACTGCAAACTCACTAATACTTAACTAATCCAAGGTGTAACAGTAAACACGCAGAACAAACAGGACCAAATACCTGTTTTGTAATAGTACTTTGAGAAAAAGAGTCATTGTTAGGAGTATCTTTGCCATCTACAGATATGAAATCAAAAGCAAAAATATTTCCAATTTAAAGGAACATATGCACAATGCATGTAATGGTTTTTGGTTTAGATTTCTAGGAAAACAGTGTATCTGTCCTTCTAAGACTACCTGTCCTTCTAAGAACATCAGTGCGTTTTCCTCAGCACAGCTTAAGAATCCTATTTTCTCCCATAATACAATATAAAATACTGTGACTGTCTCAGGAAGCCTTCACCCAAACTCCAACAGAATCAGCCTTTATTCCCATTAAATCAGCTTTCTTATTGTTCACCACAATTAGCATTAATATGGCTACCATTACATTAGTACAGAAAGCGGGGAGAGGATTTTCTCTGGCTATGAAACCAAAAGGCAGAGCACAGCTGAGCCTCATGCAGTAAAGCTCTCCTTCCCCTCCATTCTCAAATCCAGACGACCTTGTCTATGCTACCTTTCTGGGTCCTACATCATCCCCAGCCACTCTCTGCTAGTATGGTTTCTGGAACAGGGTTGAGCCATGCTGGCTAACACCGTCCCAGTTGAATGTTGCCAATGCCTGCATGCTGTGGCATGTCCTGTTCAGTTTCCCAGTTCAGACACAGCCAGATGGACCCTGCGGGCCACTGGTGGGGCATTCCCACTGCCAAGCCCCTTGAACCCCAGGGGGAGAAATTAAAATATGGATGCTCCGAGATAAAAAGAAAACGTTTGCTTTTAGCTTGATGTAGTCATGGTCACAGCCCTCTACTTTACCAAGGACTATACCTGTCAGATAACCAAATACCTTCCTAATCCTTGCTCTGAGTATTCTTGCTGAAAATTGAAGACTAAGACACGTTATTAAGCCAGACACATTTCGGGGGGATAAACTGCAGGTCAGTAATAAACTCTGGTGATCTACTGAACCCAGGAACTCCTATAAGCACCACATTTCTGCTTTCGTTAATCCAGCCCTTAGCATAAGTGTTATTCAGAATAAATCAGACCCTAATCTGAAAAGCCGAGGCAAACCAGCTTTGGCACGCTGTGAGATAAGGGGCTGGGAGCTATCAGTAATGCTGGGTCTGAATAGGGATGCTTTTTGCATGACTGGCCAGTCCACTTTCCTCACTGAAATCCTAAGAGATCAAGAAAGATGGGTGTCACTGAAAGAATTAGCAAATGCAAAGCTAAAAGAAACACCAGAGTGAAGCTGAGGAGCTGCCTGTGGATGCTGCCCATGTGCCCTAGTCACAAGCTCGCAGAAAAAAAGGTCTACCAAAGGATATTACATGCAAACTCTCTCTTGGCTACTGCCAGAGGCAATGGACTAAATGGGCAACCAGACTGACCTCCTACAATCATTTTTACAAACTCACTGTATATATTGCACCATTTAAAACATACAGATAGAAATACATACATTCAAAATATGTTATGACAACTCAGTAGCTATCTCATTATTTCTAATAACAAGGCAGTAATTTCCCATAGCAAATTACATTCATTAGAAATATTTTGTAGTGTTTAATCCCATTTATAATGATTAAAATAATAAAGTAATAGTGATTATCTGATTTCTAACCATGAACTGCAAATGTGCATAAAAATAAACCACCTATTTTGCAGCTAATTAACTGGACACATTTGGAAACATAGGAATACCATATATGTATTCTCTTCTTAAACTAATTAATTATATGCACTTAAAAAGCACAAAAAAATATAACCATTTTCTCACCACTTTAAAAGCTCTTGCAGGTGCAGGTAATGAACTGGTTTCTTCCAAATACTTCTCCCAAGAAAAATGCTTAGCATGTGGATAATCTGGCACAGAAGGAATATGAGAAAAATAAAACACTGCAGTGCAAAAAATCAAACTGATGTCTAATTCACAAAATGCCTAACACTTTCATAATACTGTTCTCATTTATGCTTCAGATTTATAAAATAATTACAAGAAAGGCTATTCTAAATTGTCTCTGACAGATTCACCACGTATGTAAAAGAAACCAACAATCTCCTCATACACAGTACTGAGTACTTAGCAGAAAAAAAAATCAAAATTGCTTTGGATGTAAGAATATAACTAGTGTGGACTGCAAAAACTGGTCTGCTTAATTTAAGAAATTCATTCAAGTATTCTAAACCTAATCCTGTATTTTATAAACGGTAATTTACTGACAAACACAATTTAATCAGCAATAGCTTTGTACCACAGTGGAGCACACCTGACTACTTGTTATTCTTTTACTGAATTTGTTTTAATTAAATTTTTAAAAAAATATCCTGGACATTTACTATAATACTTTACAGACATCATCAAATAAGATGTTGCTTTTCTCAGAAAGTGTCATTTTTACAAACACTTCATGCAACAAACACAAAGACAGCTTTGCTCTTAAAGAAAAGGCAGTACCTGTCCTTTGCCTTTAATCTGAACTAGAAGTTTAACTTGAAGTTTAAAATTATGATTAATAATCTAGAATAGAACAAAACAAATTATAATTTCTTTTAAAAGGGATTTCACTGAATAACCTCCTGACAGACAGATTGCTTACAACTTTTCAAGACTGCTGGCTATGAGAACTTCTGTCAAAGCTGATTTTAACCAATTAAAATTTTCCATGCTCTCAATTCACAGATGGCAGTTTCTGCAACAGGGCATTTATATCACCCAGTTGTATACAACAGTCCTGAGAAACAGCTGTCTTCTTATACTTTATACTAATGAATACACTGCCATTCTTCTGTATCGTCTCTCTCCTTGTGTTTTCCTGTCATCCAAAGAGCCCTTACAAGTTTGATTCCTTGATCATATAAGGCAATCTTCTCATCAACCCATTATCTTGCACATTTACTTCACATGATGTTTTTCTTATGCAGCAATCTCACACACCTGGAATTCATTTTATCAGCATTTTCACAATGTAAGTCTTAGCATAAGTGAATACATTCAGCCAAAAATACAAACTGGTTCAGATTCCAAGGGGTATCTTTCATGGATAGATGTCTCTCACTTAAAGCAGCACACATGTGCAAACTTAAAATCTAATGTCTGCTGTGCTTGTACTTTCAATATACTATGTCCTGTAAAAAAATTTAGTACTTCTGAAATACAAGTTCTTAATTACAGAAAGAAAAATTCAGGAGAGGTAGCAATAACGTTATTTTAAGTTCTAATGCTGCTAGCTGACTATAACCCCTTCTAAATCCTTCAGATGTGTAATAAGATACAAACCTGGTGGGGTGATGAGAGTTCTTTTATGTTCTTTACACCATCCAACAGGATGAATATGTGGGCTAGCTGCCTCACACCTAGAGGAGGGGAGGAAAAAGGGGACTGATAATGCAGTTCTTCAGACACTCTATTATACTTAGAAAACCAGACATACAAAAAAGATTTAACAAATTCCAAATAGCCTATGATATCTTCAACTTAAACTCCAAACATAACCTGAAGATATGAATGCATTTAACACAGACTTGCTAACACCTAAAGAAGTGTAAGGCTTTATTAACAGTTTCACTTGAAGATCAAAATGTCAAGTCTTTTAAATCAGTGGGAGATCTCCATTAAGAAACTCTAATGCTGGACCTGAAAAATTCTCATGTAGAGACTCTTAGTAGAAACTTGTTGGCTGGTTGCAAGAACAGGGTAATCTCATCAAAGACAGATGGGGTTTTGCACTGCCAAAACCAAAACTTTAAAATTAAAGCTTAAAGACCTTGATTAATGATCCGAGTTGCACCTGGAGGCAGATCAGAAAATCATGCGTAACTGCAATGCACTGTCAATAACAAGTAAAAATTCAAAACCAGATTCTGAGTGGTCTGAATGGAGCTATAAACACATTATTATAATCCAGCAGTACATAAGCAAAGTACGCCTGAGAAAAACTGTCAGCAAAAAAGAATAAAATTGCATTTTAGGCCCCAAATTGCCTGAAAGAATCCATAACTAATCAGTGATCCAAGACTGCAAATCGCTTTAAAAAAAAGCTGATCAAACTGTCTTACTCAGAGGACTAATAACTTCCCATATTTTCTGTCATGTGCACTAAATTTTGCACCAGTGCTGTCGCCTGTGGTGTGCCACAAGAACCACAGAAGACTAACAGAGGCTGGGGGAGCTACACTTGATGTGTACTGGCATCTGTCTGATGCAAGGAGAGATTGCTCTCGTTGTGCTCACTGGTTCAGCTACATCGTGCTTAGAGGCAAGTGGCAGTGGGTGCTGGCTATCAAGCTCTGCTAGCAATAAAAAACAAAATAAAACCCACACACACTGCAAAAAACATAACTGATATAAAAGCAGATGAGAGAAAAACTATTTAAGCATCCAGTATTACTAAATTATTATATACAGTGCTATATAATTTTACTAGTGTTATATTATTTCATAATGCCATACATCATGTACAATAGAACATACAGTGTACATAATATATAATGTATATACTGTAATTATTATCTTATTATATTATATTATATATATTATATTATATTATAT